AGGTTTAGTCTATTATCATCATGCTGGGACATGGTGGTACATGGTAGACAATGTGCTGGAGAAGGAGCTGAGAGCTCTAGATCTTGATCCATAGGCAGCAGGAAAAGACTGCTACACTAGGCTTGGCTTGAACATCTGAGACCTCCAAGCCTGCCCTCAGTGATACACTTCCTCCAACAAAGTCACACCTCCTACATGGGCCATTTTTATTCAAACCACCACCCATAGAATGTCTTAGAGAATTCCATGTTCTGTTACTGAGCAGATGCAGACATATGAATTCCAATTATCTCTGTTTTAAGCCTTCTATTTCCTCATCTTCTGTCTAGTGTTTAGAGTAAGTCCTCTACTACTTCATTGAGCAGTTTTTATTTCTCTTTTGTTGACGCCATCTGTTTGGATCTCTGATGTGTGGTGCAGGTACTTTTGTTTTCCTGGTAGCTGGCCCTGTTACCATCATGTCTTTGTTTCTTGCAGTTTTTTTGGGTTTTTTTGCCCTTCAAGCTGGTGTTGTCTGGTATCAGACAAAAATTAGTTACTTTTGTCACTTAGTTACTACTTACTTGTAGAATAGCTTTCCTTTCACTTTCTAGGACCTTAAGTGTAATTTGATTGGGGAATTTAATTTATATACATGTAAGTCAGTTATTAGTATGGAAAGACATTATTACATTCTTTCCTTCTTGGTATGTTTTATGGCCTTTTTTTGCCCCTTCTATTTTTGTTGGTATTTAGGTGGTCTTTTGTGTGTATGCATACATATACCTATGAAAGACAAGTTTCAGTTGGTTTATTTCCTTTTATATAAATTAGTATTTTTGTGTTTATGAGACAGAACAGCTATAACAATAAACTTAACAAATGTAAATCACAGCACAAAAACACCACCTTATAATGCCTCCCCTGTTACTGGTGCCTTAAGTTACACATTTGTATATATTGTGTATTCATTAACAGATTTAGAGTTGTTTTCAGTGCCCATGTTTTTTAAATATTATAAAAAGATCTAAAGTAAGAGTTAACCAGAATTACAGTATCATAGACTTGCAACCAGAGCACTTTATGTCTTTGTGTAGCTTGAAGTTACTGTCTAGGGTCCTATTCATTTCAACTTAAACAAAGACTCTGCCCTTCAGTTTGGTTCTGTTCTCTAAAATGAGTTTGATGTGATGTAGATAATATATACTGTTCTTTGCTGAGCATTTTAACTCCACTAAATATGTACCTTTTCCAAGATCTGGGGTGAGGAAAAGGTCTATTACACCTTTGTATTACAGATGTTTTAAGGTAATTAGATTTTGCCTAATAGAAGGTTTAATTCTGCAATGTTCTATTTCTGGTTATTATCCAAAATGCAGGTAGGTGCTCTCTTAATCAGTGTTTTGTTGCTGTGAAGAGACACCATGACCATAGCAACTTACAAAGAAAAGCATTTAATTGGGACTTGCTTACAGTGTTTGGCACACAGCAGATAGGGTGCTGGAGAAGCAGCTGAAAGTTCTACATCTGGATTGGCAGGCACCAGGAAGAGAGCGAGCCACCGGGGCTTGGCTTGGGCTTCTGAAACTCCACAAAGCCCACCCTTAGTGACAGTTCTTTCAACAAGGCCACACCTTTTAATCCCTCTCAAGTAGGGCCTCTCCCTGATGAATGAGCCTATGGGGGCCATTCTTATTCAGACCACCACAGCTGCATGCATTAAATATCCAGAGTATTACTGCTGATTTATCATTATAGTGAAACAGAAACAAAACCAACAACTTCATTTTTCCATGAAATTAGTAGGAAATTAGTAAGAATACTCTCTATCATACCATGGACTGTTAATGTCCTTTAGCACTGATATCAAGAGACATAAAAATGAAAGTTAAACAATTTAAAGAAGAGCATGCAGATGTCAGAGGAACAAGAATGCTGCTAAAATAAAAGCAAGAAATAAGAGTAAGTTATGGTCTGCCCAGAATGGAAGCTAGGCAGGTGGTCAGGGAGCCTGACACTAGGCAGCCAGAAATGGGTGAGGATCAGTAAGGAGTAGGTATAGACCTCATTGGTATTAATAAAGATTGTTCACATTAACATAGCCATTGTGTTTCTCTCCATAGAATATTCGGATTGCACTCGAGAGAAGTTCATTGCTGACCTGTGTTCCTGAACTATGAAACATGAATATGTGGGCTAAGGAGTGGGTTACCTCAATAAACAATTAACAATTATATGGACACTAAGTCTTTGCTTGGTTATTATTATGGATAATTCAGGGGCTTAAAAATCTGACATCTATTATTCATATAACTCTGGATGAATATTATAAAGATAACTTGTCAATTCATTATTTCCTTTCTTTCTTTTTTTTTTTTTTTTTTTTTAATTTTATGTGCATTGGTGTTTTTGCCAGGGGTGTCGGGTCCCCTGGAACTGGCATTAGACAGTTGTGAGCTGCCATGTGGGTGCTGGGAATTAAACCTGGGTCCTCTGGAAGAGTAGTCAGTGCTCTTAACCACTGAGCCATCTTTCCAGCCCCCAATTCGTTATTTCAACACATGTATAATTGCTCTTATATTTTGTCATTTCATTGAGATAGGTCCTTCTTGCAGTTACTTAGTCCTGCCTTTGGTCCCTTGGAGTACCTGAGTGGTTAATCTTCCAGCTTTGGGTGTTCCAGTCCTATCAATAAAATCTCTCTTTGCAGGAGGCAGAGGGAGATGGGTGTCTGTGAATCTCTAGTTAGAGGCCAGCATAGCGAGTTCCAGATCAGCTAGGGATAGATGTTTAGATGCCATTCTTAAAGAGAATCTGTCCTTGAGTTTCCTTGGAACTGTTTGGTAGTGCTGCTGTCATCAGAAAGAACAGGGGAAATATGACGACATGCTGTTAAAATAATTGCTTTTTTTTTTTTTTTTTTTTGGTTTTTCGAGACAGGGTTTCTCTGTTGTTTGGGTGCCTGTCTTGGATCTCACCCTGTAGTCCAGGCTGGCCTCGAACTCACAGAAATCCGCCTGGCTCTGCCTCCCGAGTGCTGGGATTAAAGGCGTGCGCCACCACCGCCCAGCAAATACTTGCTTTTATTAATGAACCACAGTATATATGAGAAATGAAAATACATATAGTATCTAGAAAAACACTTAACTAGTACCGAGTAATGTCTTATGGTCATTTAAAAAAAGTCTAATAAATGATGAAACTTTTTTCTTTATGGAGATAAAACTTTTTTCATTAGTATCTTCAGAATTTTTCTATCCTTTAGATTTTGTTGTGACCAAAGTTATATTTATTTGATGCAAGTCTAGTTTTTTTATTGTTTTGGTGGTACAGGCATTGAACCCAGCTCCCTGCCCCCCGTAAGAGCTCTATGACTGCGCTGTATCTAGTGTGTACAGTGAAAAAGCACGTTTGATCAGTAGTAGTCCTTATTCTGTTGAACTTGTGTAGGACTCAGTGAATGAGCTATACTAAAATAGGGTATCAGCGAAAACCTGCCAACTCAAAACTCAAAACAGACATTCATCCATGGTCAGCAATACTTTATTTATATAATTCCTGGCAATATGTAAAATTACCATAAGCCATACAAGAATCAGTACATATTTACATTCTTAAAAATAATTCTTGAGGGTGACAAAAATGCTGCTTTCCTAAATGAGTCACGGACTAAGTGCATGGATGGTTTTCATATTTGGCTTGAATTGTCCACCAATGACTTGTTTTTCAGTAATAGGGATGTGTGCCCAGCAGATCTGAGAGTTGAAGGTCAGTGGCCTTTGAGATTGCACTGTCTTACATACAGTTGAAGGGAACAAATTGCAGGCCTACAAATGACTGCCATCAGTGGGTAGACTGTGACAGTCACTGAGAACTTTAAGATCACTGCTGACTCCAGGTCTTGCATCAAATCCTTTCTTTAGGTGTTAAATAATACTTAGCAGACACTAGGAATTATCTCCAAGCCTTACCAAGTCAGTTCACAGAGAACTGGCCCAGACTGGTGGCATTGCAGGAGACAGGCTTTCTCTGTGTAGCCCTGGCTGTCTTGGAACTGGCTCTGTAGACCACGCTGGTCTGGAACTCACAGAGATCCACCTGCCTCTGCCTCCCGAGTGCTGGGATTAAAGGTGTGCACCACCACGGCTTAGCAGTGTTAGAGTTGTTCTTAACTCACACCCATATACTAAGGAGTTCTAGAACCAGACAAATTTACAAGCATTATGGTCTGTTCTTGTTGGTAGACACAAAATGTTACTTTTTAGCTTTGTAAAACATAAGCTTTCCAAAATATACCTGAGCAGTTAAAAGTCTGACAAATCAGACTGCTGACTTTGAGGGTAATATGCATTGTTTTTCCTAAAAAGAATGGTATTGTATGTAGTTAAGTGAAACATTCAACAAGCAAAACAACTGTATTACAGAGGTGGTGGAGTTTTATTTTCTGGGTCTGTATTCTATGGCCTGTCCACATTTTACTAGAAAGCAGAGCATTAATAGATTGAAATTACAGTGGAAACTTCTGGAAATGGCATAGAGTAAAAAAAAAAAAAGAATTGTCTATGTATGTTAAGAATACAACATATATAAGATTCTTCGATCATTTGTTCCTCTCCCACTTGGAGGAGTATCTTTTTTGTTTGGGGAGAAGGTAAGATGTAAATTTACAAAATTAGTATGCCTGTTACTACAGACATGTTTGGCCTTCTGTCCATGTTGAGTGTTGGAACTCTGTTGCTCAGCAAAAAATCCAACTCCTCCTCCCTGAGGGACTCAGGGGAAGCCTTTCCTTAGGGCTTTATTCTTTACCATGGTAAATTTACTAATGAACACCTGAGCAAAATGGGGGTCAGCTAAATAATGGTAGGTTCTGACAGTGGCAGGGGGCGGCTCCACAGCTACCACAGAACATGATGTTTGCATGGAAGAGCAGCTTGGAGCCAGGTGGCAAGATGTTTTTGCAATGTAGTCCACAAGCCTGTTAAACTGTTGCTCCGACAGTCTCTCCCGGGCACCATCCACCTGCCAAAACCAAAGGTTTGTTAAAGAGTCACCAACCTTTGTGATACTGTGACAACAGAACTATTCTCTTGGATGCACTTGTTCACTGTGTCTCCTAGGCCATCCTGTGAGCCATTCTGTCCACATGAGCACTTCGGAGAAAAAGCAATCCCAGTGCAAGTTGGGCACATGTAACCAGTTTCCATAAGACTATCAGGACACGCTCCCTTTGAATAAATGGCTCATTTTGCATAAAATTCTCATGTTTAAAGTTAACCATTTGATAGTACTCATTAACTTAACACATCCGTCATTGCTTTTTACCAAGCAGCCCTGGAACAAAGGATAAAAATGGCTCCTCTGGTTAAATGTAATCAGTATGCAACCCAGCATCCCGGAGTAAGAGTTGCCCCAGTTCCCAGAGCTGCCACAGCTTGTCAGAAGGCAGGGAAGAGAACCTCATTCATACCAGTGGCTTTGGGCAGAACATTTTTAAAAAACAAAACCTCCTACCTTTTTGAACTGTAACATTTTCTGTTTTTATAAATACTAGGATTTAAAGCCAGAAAAAAAAAAAAAAAAACAGAACTGGGCAGAGGAAGGGGAAATTTTTATGGCAAAAAGGGAGGATGCAAACTACATTTATAGTTCATAAAAGTCTGGCTCATCTTCAGTGGAACTTAAGAACTGAGATAGATAAACTACCTAAGTTCTTAAGTGAGACAGTCTGAGGAAGCACCCATCAAAGGCAGTGGGGACTATAAATTCTTCCCACCCTGAAGTCCCACAGCTATCTATCTAGTGCACAGATCAAGCTGAGGAGGGAATTGGCAGAGCCGGCCACTGGTCTGTAGAAGTCCGCAGCCACTAACCTTGTAGTGTTGTGACCTACTGAATACTGGCAAGGCCATTCTGGAAGAATTAGGAACCTTTACATAGAGGTGTTTTAGTTCTCAGAGTTGCGGTAATGTAAAGAATTTAAACAGGGCCCAGAAAAAAAAGTAGCTAAAAGCATAAAAAGTTGTAAAAAGCTACAGAAAGCAGACAGTAGAAGGGCCTGCTAGAGGTGTAAGTTAAGGCTTGTGTTAGAGTTTGGGTCGTATAGTTTTCAGCCTGAGAAAGAAAAGCCTTTAAGATTCACTGACAGATGAAAGCTGTGCACCACTAGGCAAAGGCCAGAGTTCTGATGATATCATTTGATGGGGCCAGAATTCAGCTGGAGAGCTTTGAATATACAAAAAGGCTTAATTGCTCCTGAACAGCAGCAGGAAAGCCCGTGTTGTGAAAGGAACCTGGCCAAGGAATAAATTGACCTCCTGACTCATTTTGAGCCTCTCATAGGGGATTTTAATAATGTGCCAGGCATATTAAGCAATTATCCCTAAAAAAATGACTGCATTTAACCAAGAAAAGCAATGCTGATTTAAAAAAAAAAATCCAAAACTTGCCATATTTGAATATACTCAGTGATGTCATCTACAAATTAATTCCTTCCAGAATTCAAAGGAGTTCTGTTTCTAGCCTCTAAGGTGAGGGGCACTTTATAGAGCTGGAAATACTGCTCTTGGTTTTCACAGCAGGAGGCTTTGGATTGGGACTGCGTTAGGTTCTGCTTTGAGCAGGACAGCTGCAGAAGACAGTCCAACCAGTGCCTCCCACGACTCTTCGCCTACTGAGACAGTTTTCCAGCTCTCAGTGCAGGGTCTCTAAATGTCCTGCGGCTTCAGTCTTCACTGGGGAGGGTCAGGTCACGGACACAAGAAGGGAGTAGTTAAAACGAGCTGAAGGTAAGGGTAGGACAAAGCTGTACTGAGAAAGCCCAGTGGGGTCTACTCTGCACAGTACCAGAGAGAGGTGTGAACTACTCTCTGCACAGTACCAGAGAGAGGTGTGAACTACTCTCTGCACAGTACCAGAGAGAGGTGTG